AGAAGCTAAAATAATAATAAGAAAATAATAATAATAATTAAATAATATAATGGAATTAATTATTCCATTACAATACCATATTATATACAATATCAAATAAAGAAATAATGCTTACCTATGAGGGGAAACCCTCCCAAAAAAATATATATATATAATCTTTTTTATATTATTAAAGTTAAATCTAAATATTCTAAGAAATTTATTATTATTTTTTTATTTTAATTATTTCTATTTATTATATTTTAATTTAAAATATTTTTAATCAAATCCAAAATTTAATATTAAAAACCATCGAGTATTAATAATATTAAATAATTTCAATTATGAATTTTATTGATTTTTTAAATTAGTTATTTTTTTATAAAATAATTATAAAGAAATTTATAAATATTTTTATATTCTATAAAATATAAACTTATTTTTGTTATATCTTATTTTATGAAATATAAATAATATAATATATTTATATTAATATTAAAAAAATATTTATTTTTAAATTGTATAATAAATAATTTTAAATTTTAAATTTAACATTAATAAATATATTATTAGATTTTATTTTTATTTTTAATTATTATAAGCAAAAACTATTAATTTATTTTTTATAACAAAATATAATATTATAATATAAATATTATATTATAATTAAACAGTTTATTAGTTGCAATATATATATTAATAAGTTTAATAAATTTGAATTTAATTCTTAAATCCTTAATTTAATTAAATCTATATAACAAATAATAGATACAATATATTAAATATTATATGTTATAAAGCAATTATTGAATATTTTTTGTTTATTAAAATATATTTATTAATTATTAAATTTTAAATATTGATAATTTAATTTTGATAATAAAATTTGTTTTAGTTATATAAATATTTGTTTATTGCAAACTTTTAAGTTATAATTAAATTCAAATAAGTATTATAATTATAATTTCTTATAAAATAAACTTCAAAATTTAAGTTTGATAAAATATAATTATTATCTATAATTAAATTATATAAATTCAAATATATATTAAATAAAAGATTTTTTTTTAATTATAAAATAAATATATTTTATTTATTAAAATAATTTTATAATTTTATTATTTAATTGATAAATTAATAAATATAAAAGTTATTGTTTGACTTTTTAATATTTTGATTTTCTTATTATATTATTTAATAATATCTTTTTTAAAAATACTAGTTTATCAAATAAATATAAAAAGATTATTAATTTTGAGATATTCTAACTATTTTTAATATTTTAGTTAAGAAAAAAAAACAGTTATTAAATTATAGGATTTTTTTTTATCTAAAATTTCAAATTTTAATTTTATAATAATTGGATATTTATTTTGATTGTCATAAAAAAAAAAAAATTATATGGATATATATATATATAAATTGTATATAAATTTTTTGTATAGAATTTTTAATATTGAAAAAACTTATTTTAAAATTTGAATGTATTGTTATAAAGTAATGATAATAAATTTATTAAATATATTATAAAATATATAAAATAAAAGATATATATACTATATGATTTGAAAATAATCAAAAATAAAAAAAACGAAATAAATATTTGATAACGGTCAATTAATAGAGTATTTCAATTAATAAATATATTTTTTTTATAAATTAACATGTTATTGAAATAATTCTATTAAGTTCATATGTTTCTTTTGAAAAAAAAAAACCAATATTTGTGTATTACATGATGTGAGCAACTGAATCATTATATTTTACCATGATGTAAAAGTATAATGATCTGAAAAAAAAATAATAAGTTAAACCAATGATATTCTTTATATAATTTTATTTAAATCCTTTTTATGTATAAAAAAATATTCTAATTACGTGTTTTTTTTTTTGATGATTCTTTTTCCAATTCTTTATGATAACAAAATTCATACCCCTTTTTTTAAAAAGAAAACCCCGTCCTTTGGTTAACAAAATAAATCACGATCTCCATTTTTTTTTCTTTTTTAAAACACATTTCTTGTTTATTTTTGTAATTTAATACAAGATATTTATATTTTCTTACTTTTTTGTACTCTATATTTTTTTTTGTCTTTTTCGTATATTAGATAGAATGAACATAATAAATAAATAAAACTATTCTAAAAATATTTACCAATTGATACACTTGATCAATAACATCTTATCGATTCTCATACGTCTCTTGTGATATGAAAATATTCCTTCAGGATCTTCCGAAACTTGTTGCAAGCACTATCGACTAGGCCTAATTTACGGATTTCTTTTTATTAAAAGCCGGATGATTTTCTATCGATGGGTAACTTGGTATGGTGATTAAAGAAAAAACTATTAATTGATATTACTGTATTTACTATATCTGTATTGGTATCATGGCTGAGATCGTTCTTGCGAATGTTTTCAAATTTTTTTGATGACAAGATCAATATTGTATAACAAAACAACTGATTATTAATATTCTTTTATAAAACTGAAAAAAAATAATTAATTATACATTGTTCAATCATACCCTATTTATTATTATATAATTGATACATGCAGTATCTCTTTAATTCTCTTTCCATTTACAACAAAAGTATAAGTAAAAAAATTAGAATATCAGATACAATAAATTTGTTAGTATCGTTTGCCACAAAGAAGGATCATGTGCGTGAACCAAAACCCATGTCTATTTATCATATGTTTAAATACATTATCGAAATAAGGATATTCGCAAAGCACTGAAGGACAAATTTTTTATCTTTTTCTTCGACCGTCCAAATATAGAAATCTTGCGATATAGCGGTAAGTATTGGATTCTCGACGGATGTTATTACTACTTTATATGTTGCGGATACTGGCCATGTATCATTGACATAGAAGTTTATATACGTTGGATAGATTGTCTACGGAAGGATTCGTATGATAAGAAAATTTATGAGACATGTGTTCAAAATAACAACTATAACTTACGGTGGTTTTGTTAAAAACGGTTTCGGTAATGGGTTCAAATACTGGTGTTTTGTCGTTAGTGGTCGCAACGATCGAGACTATGATCGAGACTATATCACGTGTAAATATGTGAATTTGTAGAATTTTTTCTTTGCACAATCTAATCTAAGTTTACCATTCGACGAGCCAGAGTACTCCCATATAATTTTGTGAGTTGAACCCACAGAAAAGTAACTCCCATGTTTGGGGATAGTGATAAGAAGCTCGTGTTCTGGAGTCGTGATATTTGAGCAAAGTACAAAAGAGAAAAAAGATAGCATCATTATTATGAAAAGATGATTATGTTTTTTTATCAGTATTGAATTCTTCATTGCTTGCATATTTCTTAAATTTTAATCCAGAATTTAATATTAAAAAGAATTCTCGATGAACTTTTGACCAGCTATACGATCATGAAAACACAAATTTATGGCTGATAATCAACCTTTTGCTTTCGATGGCTTCTCAAGATTAAATATCCTAAGGCTTGGATTTCGTGGCTGCAATAAAAAAAACCTTTTTCGTCTTATTAACATTTTAAATATCGTTGCAAAGCAACTTGTGATACGTACTTGTGGCAAAGGTTACTTTGCTTGTGAAAGAATTTTTAACATATAATGTACTGGGCAATATTTTAATATAAGAACTTGGTCATTTTTTTTAACGAGCTGAAAAATACAAAATAATTTCTTACAATATCAAACTAATATTTCATAAATAACATAATAAAAATATGAATAAATTTGATAAGACATTCTCATAAAATATTCTACGTAATACCCTATTTAGTTTTTTATATATTCATTTGTTTATTTATTGCTTTGTTTATTTATATTTAAAATACCGTATTTTAATTATATACTGTACAGTTTAAAATAAATAAAAACCGAAGAATATATATTTGATATATTAATAATATTTTCAGATAACTTTCTTTGAGAAAATAATATAAAATACAGTAGAACAATAAATTTCACTTGAATGCATTGTAAAAAAAATAATTTGAAATTTATTAATATTTTTTTAATTTTTATGAATTTATTTTAATACAATTTTAGATATAACAAGTTGACATTTTTAATTTAATAAATTTAAATGATTTTACAAATTTTTAATTAAATAATATTAAAATTTTAAATAATTCATTTTAAAACTTGATATATTATTAAATTATAACAAATATCAAGTAATATTATTTATTTAAAATATGATATTTGGATTATTATAAGTTAAAAAAAATATTTATATAAGTTTTTGAATTTATTATTTAACAAATTTTATAAAAAATTAATTTCAAAATTTTATTAAATTTTATAAAGATTTAATGTGATCTATATTGTAAATTTTTTTAATTTTTATATCAAACTTGCTTTTCATTATCAAATTCAATTAAAATAAAATATAATCAACTTATTGAATTATACAAGCTGTTTTATTTTATATTTTAATTAAATTTTATTTTATACTATTTAAACTATTGTGTTTTTTTAATAAATATATATATATTTTTTATATTATATAACTTTTTGATTCCAGCTTTATGCAAATACTGTAGTATCAAATTGTATTGTTAAAAATATTGTATTAAAACAAGTATCAATCTTGTTTGATGTGTTGTTTAAAAATAAAATAAAATAATATTTTTTTTATAATATTGCAAAAACATTTGTATTTAGAAAAAGATTTTGATCTTCTGAAGCATATGTCAAAATATAAGAAATTATTTTTACAGAATTTATTGTGTTATAAATACTAAGAGATATATATTAAGTTGAGAAGTAGCAACAATGCCTTTAATCTCAAGAAATATATACCAATCATTTATGCACATTGGTTGAGACTTAGCTCTAAATCTTGCATTTATCTGTACACATAAATAAAGGAAGTGGATTGCTATTAGTTTATATTATATTATATGAAAGAATATAAAAATAATAGAAATAAGACTTTAAGACCTTTATAACATATCTGATGACTATATGATTAATTTGTCTTTTTATGCCTGATTATGTGCTACATTTTTAAATAAATACATTTTATTCGTGATGATCCATTGAACCACATATTTTTGGCTCCATTTGATTCGTTTCAATGAGATAGTATCGAACCTAAGCTACTATGCTGAATGTTTGAATATGTCAACCTAATATGCTTACCTTAAATAAAAACATAATCGTTTTTAAAGAAGTCGAGCGTTCTTTATGCGGGCATCGCACGCAGAATCTAGACACAAAATCATCCCAGTTCTATCAAACAATTATCTTTTGCATAACAATGCACTAACGCAGCATATTAATCCATCTAATATTGGGAGGAAGTAAAGTTTCAGCACGTCAAGTATGTCAATTCGAGTGACTCACCAGGTAGCGTGTCTTTGTGTTAAATCTTGAGAGATTATATTGTGGGCTTTGGATCAAATATTCTGCGAAATTAGAAAAGATAAATCTAAGTCTCGCATTCACGCTCGCGTACATATTCTAACAATTGGATAAGCCGGTTGAAACTCTCTTAGATATTAAATAAATAATATATACATCATAAAGAATTATACTCGACTTGTTATTTGCTGTATTGTACGTGACATGTTAATCGTGAATAAAAAACGGAGATTATGAATACAGTGTAAGCCCATCCGAAGCAATTTTTTATAATGATCTTCGATGGTTGGGGGGTTTTTTTTTAAAAAAAATATATTATATTTGAAAATTCACTTTTACGACTAATTGAATAGGTAGTTAGTTTTATTTATAATTTATTATTAAAGAAGGACCTTACCATCTAAGATTCCCGACATAAATTCGACTATAGCTAATAAAGCTTTACCGGACATTTTTCAATGTTTTTTCGTAACCTACCATACATTCTAGGGAAAAGATCGGAAGACGGAGTATTCAGGTGAATTTATATAAAGAAAAGCGGTTTAAAGAAAGAACACTGTAGACAAAGAGTATTGTGTCTAAACTCGATTCTTGTAAGTTTATGACTATTTTTACTTTTACAATCATGAAAGTTCGTACCAGCACCTTTTTATCTACCAAGAATCCGGTCGAAGTAAATGGTGCTAAACAAGATTGTTACTTGCTTGATTAAAACTTTTATATACACAATATAATGTTTGTAGTGTTGTTCCCGATCTGTAGGAAACTTCCTTAAATGCGCCTATAAAGATACACATGTTTTTCATAACAAACCAAGCTTATATTGAATTCGCGAAACCTCCTTAAACGTTATATCTGTTTTAATTCTTCACGTGTTGAACATTATCAATTAATATACCATATGTGTTAAGCATCAATTAAGATATTTTATTAATTCTCAAAATAACGACAAAGCCGATGATGCCAAATATGGCATGTACCGAAAATAACCGGCGTTAGTCCAAGATTATCTTAGCGAAATGTATGTGCGTAGATAGTTTACGTTTATCACATTTATTAGAAACATAATCTTCACTTCATTTACTACTCATTGGTTCACCGAAACCCCTTTTAACACATTTTAATCGCATATAACCTCACTTTATCCACCAAATAATGCACCAGTCGAAAAACCTTTGGAGTGCACTGTCGTTGTTTGTGCACAAACAGCAATAACAAAAAAAAAAAAAAAAAACTTTCTCCTTTCGTTTTCCCTTCCCTGATAGCATAATAGCATTTATAATTCTTGCTGGCAAGTAATTCATTCCACAAATCACTTTCTATAACTCCTCTCCATCAAAACCTAGATACCAAACACCTTGCCCTCGCACATTACACAATGAAATCTGCCATATTCTTATTTGCTTTATATGCCTTCTTTGCTGCTACCCTTTATGCCACCCCAGTCGAAATACTCTCTTCTTCAAAGAAAGAGTCGGATGGTTGGTATTATGCTGGAGCCAGTCTTGACAATACGACTGACAATAGTATAATCAAAAGGGCTTCTAGTGTTAATGCACAATCTACCTTCTACACGGGTGAAGATCTAAAGGGTTCGGCTTGTTATGGTAGAAACGGTCTTCCCCAATACAACGCTAAAGACTCTGATTTTATTGCTGCCATGAGAATGAAAAATTTTGAACATTGTTTTCGATGCCTTCGAGTCGAACGTGGAAGTCGGCACGTTATCGTAAAAGTTATCGATAAATGTGGCGGCTGTCCAAACTCTGAAAATGTTGATTTAACCAAATCTGCCTTCAAAAAACTTGGTAGCCTTGATGAAGGACGTATCAACATAAGATGGCGACCTATTAATTGCCCTAAAAAAGGAGAATGGCCAGTTTTTGAAGAAAGATAATTGGGTTTTTTTCTTTTTCTTTTGATAGATAATTATTATTTTATTTTATAAACAAAGCACGTGAGATGAATACAATGATAAATCCAATGTTCCATTTCATGTAATATTTTAGTTAGCCATATACTCATGTATCACAGGTCACCTTAATAAATGTGTTCACAAACTTCAGAGTAATTTATATATTCCTTATTTGTTGAGATTTTTGTTTCTTCGTATTGAATTTACACTGTTTTTCGATATTATCTTAACCGTGAATACTGTGGGTAAACAAAATAACATACTGCATAGTGGTTCTTTATTAACAGATAAACGTGCATAAGGGTCATTTAACAGAAAACTTACGCGTATCTAAAAATGTAAGTCATGTGATATTAAATAATTTCTTATTGTTGGCGGGAAAACGATCTGTGATTTGCACTACGATCGAGGCGTGATAGATTTGGCGAGTTTGACAGGTAAGTTGAACAATGAGCGTTAGGTAAGTATAAAATGTTCGTTGATGATTTCTTGAAAGTTATATCCTTTTTCTCGTGTACTTGCGCCGGTTATATACATGATCTCGCCATTCTCCTGAAAGATACAAAAGATAAAAAAATTACTCAAGATACAAAAGATACAAAAGATACAATTTCACGTCGTATAACCGATTTCTTGCGCCGTTTAAGCTTCCCTTGCGTCACACTAATTCCCCCTATAACACTATGCTGTCTAAAGATCGATAATTTTACAATCGAATTGAAATAAATTTTGTAAATTGATTTTATTAAAAACTAGTGATCAGATATACTTTTTGTAAAATTGGTATTGTAACACATCATTAATGATCATTACTGGTCATTACTAGGCAAGGATCAAGTAATGCCCGCAGGAAGATCCCTCAGGCTCCATTCATGTCCCGGTCCATGACCATATGACAGTTCTCATATTTATAAACTCTTCTTCCACCAATGTTTTGGATGTTCCTGCAACAGCTGCAGGTCTTAGAGGTGTACGCCTCATCTTGGATGATCACCATTACACCACCTGTCTTCTTTACCTTGTGTTTTAGCTGCTGCTGGAACGTGTAATGTGACCAGGTGAGCATACTTCAAACCATTTTCGAATCGACTTTTCATCGATCTCATTTCATCATGTTCTTTAAATTAAATTTGGGTATAATCATATCATAGTTTTGGATTAAATAGTTTATCATTTTCTTGTGAAGCTCCTTACATAAATTTCTAATCTATTAAAAGATTCTTGCAATCATATTATCTAATTATTTTGCCTTTTTCTTTTTTCACTTCAATATGAAATTGTTTAAAAGATCTTTCTTGGAACATAACCTGTCAGTGTATAATCCTAATTGAACCAATCTTTATCCATCATTCTTTTCAATCTCCATTATGCTTTCAGTGAGCAAGTATATGATAAATGGTATTTGCATCCCAGAATCAATAGTTATGAACTTTTCATGAGCTTTGCTATTTTGTTTCAGTTTTTTGTAAACCCATAAGAAAATCTAATTATTTGTTTTTCAACAATAAGTGACCTTGTAATCATAATTAATTTTTTTGAATAATTATTTGTTATATTTTTATTAGGTTTCAAAATGCAAAGATCAAATATTTCTCTTGTTTTTTGTAATAATACTAGATTTCTTTTTTACATGTGCATCAATTGATTATATATTGATCAGTTATGCAAGTATGATATATAGAAATAATTCTAATTTCTTTCTGAAAAATTTTGTAATCAGATACTAATAGTATGCACAAAATTTTTTTTAACTTAAACTTTAATGTAAACCTTTGATTTTTTTGATTATGATTTTTAATTGCCTTATTCACTATCAATAATATTATTAAGAATTTTCTTATCAACATTCTTGAGCTTAAGCTCAAGATATATAAAATAATAAAGGTACTAAGTATATAAACAATTAAGATAAAATTGGGTGGATATTCTATTTGATTATGCCTGAATACAAAATTTAAAATAAGAAACTATTATATTATAGATTAATTATATTAATTCCATGTATTTGTTTATTTTGTTATTTTGTTTTTCTTATTATTAAAAATTTTTTTTCATCAATTTTATATAGCTTTTTTTTCTTGTATTCTACAAATAAAAACAATGTTGATAGCAAGAATATCTTCAAATAGCTTATATTTATTAATTGTTAAATTGTTAAAAAAAATTACAAGTTATAAATTAAAGACAAATTAACAAAGTTAATTGTGATAAATAATTATAACTTTTAAAACTATTTTATAACTTGTTTATTTCAATATAATTTTATGTTCTAATTATTTGAAGTTAATATTCAAGCCAATATTATTAACAAATTTATAAATTAGAAATTGGATTTTTTTTTATTATCTAAGATTTTTTTTTGTTTAGTATTAGAGATGCAAATATATAGGAAAAAATTTTTAGTAATAATAATAATAATAATAATAATAATAATAATAATAATAATAATAATAGTTTAAATTATATTTAAAAAGTTATTTTAGAAAAAAAAATACTATAAAGATAAATTTCAGATAGAAATTATAAATATAACAATTATCTAACCATTCTTTTTTCTATTTATTAATTATATTACAAGTACAATTGTTTATAAGATTTTTATTAATTTATATATTTTACTTTAATTCTATTTTTATTTATATCAATTACAATATATTTATCAATTTAATATTACATTATATAAATTTTCAATAGACTTACTTTTCTTTTCATATTAATATATAATTTAATATAATCTAATATATTATATAATTTGTATTTATTTTTTCTTTCTATTATTTTTTTTATCAATAATATATTATATTATTAAATAAACTAATTTAATAAGTTATTAAATAATAGGTATTAATAAAACTTCAAAAAATATTGAACTGATATTGAAATAGTATCAAAATAGTATTAAAATAATATTGATCTATAGTAAATTTAATATATATATTGTTAGCATGTAAAAAGGTAATAGAAAATAATAAGGAAAAAGGTATAGTAAGTATATCAAGTATATTAAATATAATAGATATATCAGGTATAAAGTATATATCAGGTATAAAATGTATAGTAGGTATAAAGTATATATTAAAAATAAGTATATAAGTAACAGAAGAAGGGACGAAAATGAGGAAAATTCCAGACAAGTACTATGCAATTCTGACATTCTCCTAGATTCCATTGTTGAACATTTGCCCTATTACCTGATCCACACACACTACACTTGAGGAATTGC